TCAAGCACCGACAACCTCCTCGTCTCCTCCACGCTGCCGGCGGCCCCCACTCTCTCTCCGAATCCACCAGATCTCGCTCCTCCTCCACGACAGTGACCGGTTGTGGCGGCGGCTTGGCTGGGCAGACCGACAGCGACCGTGCCCTGCGCGTGGAGGGCGCGCGTTCGCGCCTGGCTACGGCCACATGGAGCACGCCACTTGTTGTCCTCTTCCCCTTCTCTCCTCTCTTTCTCGTCCACGGCCACTGAATCGCCGGCCTTGAGAGCGATGATCCGGGGCACCGGGCTGCCGGCCGTGAGGGCTCCTGCTACCGCCGCGGCGCTGCCTCCCCCTGCCAAGCGGGCCTTGGGCCGGCCTGAGGCTTCACAAGCCGTGCTTACCGGGCCAGCCCGGCACGAAAAATAGCCCAACAGGCCGTGCCTAGGCCGTCAGCCAGGCACAAAGCCTAGCTTGGCACGGCTCGGGAGGCATGGCATGTGCGTGCCGGCCCGACTCCATTGGGTCGGGCCTAGCATGGGCCCGTGCCATGCCGTGCCGGGCCGGCCCGTTGGCCATCTATACATGATAATGAGTTATTGTGTCTTCTCCAACAACATAGAGATAGAGCCCCACTAGTCCATATATGTTTGTCGATCCGACCTATATAAAAAGATATATAGAAAAAAAGTTACTCCTTTAATGGTTGGTTTCTAGCACATTGATCAAAGCACATGATTGCTAAGTTTCATTTTTACCACAATTTTTTTCTTTGTGAATGTAACTTAGAATTATCTGTAGGTTTGCAAAGTTTCATTTTTTAGGTTGTATATGTAGATTTATTTTTCAGTGGATTTGCACCAGTTCCCATATTTGGTGCATATTGTATTTGCATCAGATACGCACCCGCAATATGTTTTGCCAAGGTGCAGTCCAAATTACGCATTTAACTCAACTCGCTCGATTAAGGTGGGTAGCCCCTCTATCATTTTAAGCATGTAGTTTGATGATAGGGGAAATTAATAAAACTAATTTAATGAGATGTCGTTGGTGTATTTATTTGGTAATATAGTTAAATTGGAGAAATTTGATTCAGGATAAAACCAAAGTGAACTACAGCCGGGAACCGAGGGAGTATGCTTTACATGTATGGTAATTCTGGGACCAGGCACCCGTCCGTCTCAGACGCTCCGTTGTTGGACCATGATGCTGGCCTAACTACCCCTTCCTATTTGCTCAGGAGTTTCTAAGAAAAAATTGGTCTTCCTACGTCGCGGCCCTCTTTCTTCCCCAACGTGTCGCACCCCGCGCAGCTTGCAGCGCCGCGCCGTCGCCTGCAGCCCCGCCGATCACCAGCGCAGCCGAGTGCCCCCACCGCCTCCTCGCTGCTCTGATGCGGCATCGCACCGCCCTTCCCACCCACTTGCCGCACCGCCACGCTTGCTCCCCCACGCCCTGGACTGTCGGACCACCAGCCCCTTGAACTCGGGGTGGGAGCTGAGGACCGCCGGCTGACCTTCTTCCGAGATCCGTTCATCACCTCCTTGAACTCGATGTGGGAGCCATTTTCTCTGCTCCTCGCCCCGAACCGTTGCCTCTGGTCAACACACGCCGACGAGCCTCCATTCTCTCAAGCGGCAAGAAGATGTTGTGCTGAAAGCGCATGTTACAAACGTATGTTTTAAAGTGTTCTAGATGTTTCAGATGTATGTTTCAAGTGTTTCATACTGATATTGCAAAGTGGATCCGGATGTTGCAGTGATTGTACACGTATGTTGCAAGCTTCTGTTCCCAATATTTTATCTGTTTTTTCCAAATGTTTGTTGCAAGTGTGTTTTTTGGATGTTGCATATGTTTCACATATATGTTATAAGTGTTTTATCTGGATGTTGCGTACGTTTTACAATATTTTTCAAGCATTTTTCACGTGTTTTTGCAAGTGCTTCATATACATGTTTTAAGTGTTTACCTTTGTTCAGACGTATGTTATATCTAGATGTTTCAAAAGCAGATCGGATGTTGCATCTCCATCCTCACTTTATGTTGCTTCGTCTCGATGTCTCCTCCCCCGGTGTCGGCTAGCATCCACCGTTCCCTCACTTCCTTCTCGATGCTGGTGACGTTTGGGAACGCATAAGCCCACATGGGCACGTGCAACGGCGCGGGCGTCCACTAGCAAGCCCCTTACATGTATGAACACCGCAGCATCGATTCTTTCGTTATTGACGTTTGATTCGATTGGTATACACTGGACAAGGATAATGATGGATTATGCAACGGCGCACGCCCAGAGATATATATAGAGAAGGATCGGATGAGCGATCCATCATCCATGATGGCATGTCACGAGCGAGTTTTTGATGGACGCTAGCTTGTGTGCTTGCATGCATGCATATCCAAGGACACATCGATTGATCGATATGATGATATATATCGCTAGCTGCTAGCTAGCCGTGCACGTCGCACGTCGCACGTCAACCCAATAATACATGCGAGATGATCCATGAGTTGTTTAATTTTGAGATTGTTGAGATGCATATGCGATTGCGATCCATCTATATCCGTCTATCTATCTATATATCAGTATTTATTCAATTCTTACTAGAACCCGATCGAGCGGTCATGATCAATTAACACTGGTAAAGAACGTGGCTTTGGTCCAGGTTGGGAAAGGACTTTAATCCTGGTTTCCCAAGAGGGACTAGAAATCCGGAGCTAAATGCCACTCTTTAGTCCCAGTTGAACATGGCTTTGGTCCCAATTGGAAAAGGGCTTTAGTTCTGATTTTTCAACCAGGACTGAAATCCGAGACTAAAGGCAACATCTCTTTAGTCCAGGATATCTGAACCCAGACTAAAGGTGAAAAAAAACGTGGCTTTGATCCCGGTTGGAAAATGACTTTAGTCCTAGTTTCTCAACATGGACTAAAAATCCAGGGCTAATTAGTCCAAGTTGAACGTGGCTTTGGTCCCGGTTGGAAAATGGCTTTAGTTCCAATTTTTCAATTGGGATTAGGAATCTGGGACTAAAGTCACGTCTCTTTAGTTTCGTTTATCTGAACTCGGACTAAAGGTGCTCCGGGTTAAAAAATATGATGTCTCCCACTCCTGTAGCTCGTGGGAATCAAACCTAAAACCTCATGCATTGTCTAACGTGTAGCTTACCACCCTATCTACACAACACATGTGACTTTGCATGTGACGTTCCTTTTGAACTAACTGGTTGAAAGACCTTTACTCTTTCGGGTTGGTGTTACCAACCAACTGGGACTAAAGGGTCTACTTTAGTCCGATTTTGTGTTACCAGCCGGAACTAAAGGGTCAAGGCTCTTTAGTCCGGGTTGATAACACCAATCGAAACTAAAAGATCTACTTTAGTCCCGATTTATGTTACCAACTAGAACTAAATGGTTCAAGGCTCTTTAGTCAGGGTTGATAACAGTTTTCTAACGTCTATCAAACTTGGACCCAACACAAATACTTAAATTAGTCCCAGATCCAACGCTAACCGAAACTATTGGGCTAAATCGAAAGTCTATTCTCTACGTGACCAAACCAATCGTGATGCATGATCAAACTCGTGATGATTCGATCGAGGCGTACGTCTAGGTAGCTACTAAGCTAGGAGTACGTTCCATCACTAGCGGCTGTGAGCGTGCGCACGTGTCTCCGTCCTCGTCCACGTGCGCCCTCCAATCAAGCTCTGAGTGCGAATATATGCTAATCTATGTGGTCATGCCAACACGTGTAGAGACGGACAGACCGGCCAACCTCGCCTCTTTTGTCCTGCTCGCTGGCTTAACCCTTGTCTCCTCTTTGTACGTAATTTTACTTAGAGGTGTGCAGGTTTGGCAAGGAATTCACCACATTATTGTCCCTCATACATACAGTAAAAAAACGTACACACATGCCTCCCATAGATAGCACTACATCTATATTATATTATTAGTAACATGCATGCACAAAGTCTCCTTTGCATTATATATTCTTCTGACCATTGCTTTTAGACTGTCAAAATATGTGAACAAAGTTTAAGAAAGCATAACGGTGTAGAAGTATGCGTGCACATATATATATATACATAATCATCGGTGTCATTCTTCTTAGGTGACAAATGTCAATAGTGTGATGTGTATAATAGCGGTTAGTCGTATAATTGTTTATTAAGCCCGATCGACTCCACATACATTATTGTATATATTCTATTACTCGAGATCAGGTTCAGCTTTCAAAACGGAGACAGTTTCTTCTAATCTTCTTTTTCTTCTTTATTATAATATATAAGCGAACCCGAGCTAGAAAAACTTCGCATTCCAAACGTGTCGTGTTTTTCAACCATTTTTTCGTCGACTCGACTCGCAGCAAATTAAATGATCTGTCGAGACGCTGGCTTGCCACCTGATTAGTTCAGCAGCACGAGTAATCAACACTTGACAGCTTCGTCTGGCCGTGGCCGGTAACACTCACGCTAGAGTAGACACCAAAGAAAAAGATGTTTCAGCGCATCACACACACACGTACAAGCCAGCTCAATTAGTGATTCCCATTCGCAGAGCCGGGTCAGCGTACGTACGTCGCCCAGTTACGTTTCTTCTCCCAACAAGGTTGCCTATAGCTGGTCAGTGTCACAGCTCATGATCGATGTCTCAACAACAAAATTAATATACGCCACTGGCACATAATTGGCAAAGCAGGTAGCTTTTACCATGCCGGGATGATATATATTCTTCTGCAAGCCATATCATAAGGTACAGCGACAAGCTACCACAGAAAATCCAAGATCTGCTGATCTAGCGATGCGACACACACGAGGCCATTTAGTCATTTACATCATCGTAACATCGATTTGTCGGGTCTACTTTTTTCAACTACATTTTACAAAGTATATATGCATCCATCTCTTATAATGATTTTGATCATGGTTGAACATAGTTACTTCTAACTACTACGACTCCGTATGTACTTACAGTACAAGTAGTCTACATTTACGCACACCGAGATCAGAGCTTTATTTTGGGCATCATATCACGAGGTCGCCGACGGCTGGCGGCGGAGCACTGGGTGGACGGTGAAGGGACCGAAGTGAGGCCTGGCGAACAAGGTGGGCCCCGAGGATGGTGGTGGCACTACTGCTGGTGGTGCGCTGATAGCAGTGTAGTGAGCCGTGGCCTTCTTATTATCGCATGAGGGGCACGCTCGGGCAGTGCTGAACCCCGCTGCAGGCAGATGATGGCCGTAAAACGGGTAGGCAGCGATGGTGGAAACACGCTGGGCACGCAGCTCTGCCACCTCCCTCTGGAGCCTTCGGTTCTCCTGTGCTAGGTTCTCGCAGCAACGCTTCAGATACTCACAGTCCACCTCTGTTTGCTTTAGCTTAGTTCTGCCATGGTAGATTCGATGATATGATGACATGTTAATAAGTTATAGGTAAGAACCCAGGGCACCGGCACAGTCGTACCAGCTTAATTTTAGGAATGATGACTGATTTTGATGCCATCTGATAGAAAAGAGGTGGGTGACATTATATTACCTCGCTCTTCTGTTCTGAAACCAGACCTCCACCTGGCGCGGTCGAAGGCTAAGCCGGTTCGCCAAATCACTCCTCTGTTTCTGTGACAAAATATCAGTAAACAAATATTTGATCAGAACTCAGTGAAAATCGAAGCTTAATATTTACTTACAGTGTAACAGAGTGCTCGTGCTACAAGCCGGAGAAGTAGCCAACCATCCCAGTGTGAAACAATAATCTTTCTAGCCGATAATGGTTTTACAAGTTGATCCCCAATAATTAAATTTAGAAAACATTCCATTTGGTTAGAATGATAAACCATTTTCCCAATAGACAAACCCACTCAGATTGTTTCACGCATAAATTCTTTGCCTGGCTGCCTGCATATTTTATATATAAATAAGCTCATACTCATACATGCAAGAGTGCATGCAGCATGCCCTTGATTCTTACAAAAGTTCCCATCAAGGACCATTATATATTAACTGAGTTTCCCGAGGGCAATATCTCTACTTTGAAAAAAGAATTGATTACTGTTTCTTGGTGATCATAAGACAGTCATACAGCAATCACAAAAGAATCTGTACCATACAGGCACAGCTACCAATCTTTCTAGTCTAGAAAAGAACAAAAAACAAACAAACAATCATCCTGCTGTACTCTATAATTACTTTCTCATTAATTATGCTGCATCACCTTAAATCCTTTTTTAGTTTGTCGCTTTAGATTACACATCATCGCTTACAACTTTTTGTAGAAATCTTAACGAGTCAAGGACATCTTACAAGGATAGGGCACTAATATGTTCCACAGATACAGGGAAATATAGTAAGCGCAACAGGATAGACACATACTGGGGAAAGTGTGCTGTGTGCCTTGAAGCTATCCTCCAGGAACGCAGATTGCTTCTTGGACAGCCTCAGCTTCTTCCTCGTTCCCCCGCCAACCCCACTAATCGCCTCATCCTCTGCAGCTTCCTGATCAGCTGTCTGCCGAACAGGAACCTCCAAAGGCAAGGACAAAGTTGACAAAGATCTTCCTTGTGCTGTGTCTCCATCCACCAAAACAGTGTTTAAATCAAATCCTCGTACGCACACCTCTGAATTCACGGTCCCTGTAAAGAGGACTTGTTACCATCCAAGAACTTGCAAGCCCTGAAGCCCATATGTACTTGACCACAACATACCTTACCTACGTACTTGGAAATTAGAACCAATCAAACTAGCATCCAATTTGCACATATAATGTGTTCTGTACCTATTTCTGCTGAGGCAGGCAGCAAAGGGCAGATGCGGCTCAGCTCGACAGGTGACTCGCTGTATGAGCGTGTTTCTTCTTCTTCTTCCTGCACATCTTCTGCTTGCACGAGTGTCTTTTCATTGTCTTGTTCAGCTCTTTTGGCAGTCCCTACTCCTAGCTCTAGCGCAAGCTCATGGCCTTCTCCTTCACCTGCGTGTATAGGAGTCAGTGCAGGCGTGAAAGTGCTCTTTGCTGGAGCTCGAGAATCCCCCAGACTAAGCTCAAGCTCCATGTCAAGAATAGAGGAAGGATATGAGTAATGGGCTAAAGAGAAAGCATCAGGCAATATATATATAGTACTGTATGGGTAATCAACTAATCATAGAGTTAACCAAAAGAACACAGTACCAAGCAAGTAAAGAATAAAATAAAAGATTTGATTACTATAATGCTTTGTAAGGGTGCAATCTGGCTAATCATTATCGGCCCTAAAGTTTTATGACCACCTTGTCATTTGTTTAAGGTTCTGTAAGGTTGTTTGCACAGAGGATTTCCACGTGTACTTTCTATATACAAGTTGTTGAATAGAAATGCTCCCTCAGAGGTCAACTAAGTTGAGCATGCTAATGATATAGGGCTCTTAGAAATAATATAAATGTAAAAGCATCAACATTAACTCTCAAGGTTTTCTTACTACTATTTGCATCTCTTGCCGACATAACCGAACATTTAACCCTTTTTGTACATTAGGCAACTATAGCCTTTTCCTAGTCATATGGCCCTTGATATTTAATCTATAAAAAAAATCTTAACATTTCGGATAAGCAGAAAAGAACCATGCCAATTGATAAAATGCTTCTAGAAAGAAAAGGAAATCAGATAAAGAAAGTAACAAATATTTGTGCAACTTCTCTAAGCGAAAAGGCATCGCAGAAAGTCGAATATGCTTTTGTCACTGAGGTGTTAAAACTTAAATTATCATTAGACTTTACAAACGATGACACACATGTTTGAATTAGAAGTGCACAGTTGAAAAATCGCACAGAAGTGCACTGAGCTGGGAGACTCTATAATCTATATACTTTACATATGAAGTTGCCCGTGAGGCATGATATAATATCTGGACTAGAAAGCACACCTTGAAACAATTTTTTTTTATGGGTAAATTTAAAAAGTTTAAAGGTAGATCTCATTAAATATGACAATGAAACTAAGCTAGAAGGCATTCGTTTACTGCATAAGTGATTAATGGCATGCATGAGGATTACAATAAAACTGAATCCACTAGGGGCAAGGTGCGCTTTTCAGGACAGGCTGTTTTTTCTTCTTTGTTTCATATATGTATCCAGTAGGGCAACCCTCTCCTGTTTCCTCAAAACAAGAAAACTGAATCTATCAGTAGTGACAACGCAAGATTCTGCATTTCGGATTATGTATGTTGCAGGCACTCATGATAGAAGCCTAACAGGCTGAGATGTTATACATAAAAAGCTGTGTTACAAGAGGGTTACATATATAGCCTAGGATACAGAGGTGCCCAAGGGGCCAGACCCGAAGGGGCCAGTTTAGACTAGAGTGATAGATTACAGAGGAGCCCAAAGGGCCAAGCCAGCCTGGAGGAGGTGGCGCATTCATAAGTAGAGTAGAAGCATTCACATAGAAACTAGATATTCTAACACTTTTGACTATTCCTACAGAAATCAGCAATATGCACCGATGTGCTCCAATCATCATGTTATTACTATTGGGATGTTAGAGACAAGGACTGTCTCCTTTGTACAAGCAAAAGGGAAAACTGAGCAAGACTTGCTCTGGCAGGCTGCGTACCCAAACAAATATGTACGTTGCTTTCAGTAAAAATTTCAACAGCACCTTCCATTGACAATTAGAACTAGTAACATGTGTACAATACTGTTTCACTATATACTTTGCCTATATAATACAACAAATAGTTGATTGGGAAGGCATAGGCTATAAATAAAAATAACCATTTGCCTATTGACAACCTACATACCTGAAATTTAATAGGCAGAAAAGTTAGTGAATTAAGGTCATCAGGGATCTCCTGAGGCTACTCCCAGTGCATTGTATGATGTTGCTCTCATCAAAGCAGCAATTTCATATAGACATATAAATGCAAGTATGATACAAATACAACAAACCCATTGCATAGTATATTGGTGTTATTTCTTAGGAACGCTAAACCGATTAATTGTTGCATGTGCTTTATATATATATCACAATAGGTCCAAACCAACATGGTTTCTTAGTCTTGAATATCGAGCCCAAGTTGTATCTCTATGAAGATACATCTTTATTCTCTTTCTTCCTTAACTCTATGCTATGTCACAAAAACACTCATTTAATGTATATTATACAGTGCACTGGGAGAGCCTAACATGTAAAAGAAACAATATAGTTTAGTTAAGGGCACAGTTAAACTCAACATACAGGATGAAAAGACAAAAACATTTGGTTCTTCTCCCAGATGATTAAGATATAATTCACCAATAAAGAAATAAGACACCAAAATCATAAGGCATGCTAACTTATTTCGATTATTTTTTGAAACAATATCTATCATCTATGGCTTGTTAATCAATAGTTCCTTTTCAAGAGATTGGATGGAAATGTCAACAGAGTTAATATTAAACAATGGAATGTCAACTTTTTTTAAAAAAGAAAAACTCTAGTTTGATGGATTTTTTTGCATTTTATATTAAACGTTGCACAAATAAAATTCTGAAAACTTCTATTGTTGATATGGCTGCATTGAATTTAGGTTCCAAAAGTAATACTCAAATGTAATCAGAGACCAAAAAAGGCTACAGATTATTGTATAGCTTGCTTTCATGACACATCATTGTGCCATGACACATCATTGTGAGCCAGAAACCTTCAGCATTCATACCATGAAATCAATCACTCATGCAAAAGAGGAGATACATTCAGTTTTCTATACGCTTCTTAGCGTTTACATTTTGTTCAACCAATTATTACAAGAAACTTGTTTACTAAGTCATTTTTCTCTTGTTTTTTTTATGTTTGAGCAGTAGCTTTTTCTTCGCCATTTTTCTCAGTGCCGTGTATGGAGGTAAAGACATGATGAATGGGTTAGAAGTTATGCTCAAGGTTTGAACGCATATTAAATGTCATGACATTCAAGGAAAGCACATTCCAAACTGACCACAATGCCGAAAGACAATGAGGTAACAGAAATATGTTAAAATCACACACATGTGAATACAGTGCAGCTCTACAAATTGCCTCACTGTCCATAAGGCTAACTGGCTAAGGTAGATATGACAATGCAAGGAAGCTTAATCGGTGTGTCACAATCAGACAGTGTGATGCAGCAGAAAGATTCCACAAAAAAATTTACTTTAATGAGCAATGATTGAGGTAAAGAGACCGAAATTTCATGTTCTTAGTAATTTCTCTCACTCAGTGAACATCAGCAATTATGTTTCAAAAAAAAAGTGAACATCAGCAAAGGAGCAAAAATTACAGGGACTTATGTGATCACATATCAACCTCTCAAATAACAGATTTCCATTTATTATTGATCTTCTCAACCACAGTAAATAAGAGAAGGGAGATAAATTACACAGAAGTCTATATAATCGAGAGAGAAAGAATCCTGAATTCTTAGTCACAAAACATTTAAGTGTAAGTGGGTAGGGATGCATATGCAGCTAGCCTTCTAGGCATAATAGATTGAGAGTTTTGGAATTTCAGACAAATATAATGGCACCTATATTTTTCAACAAACTCTAGGATGCATATCGTTCAATTGACAGAAACTCAAGACATTTCGTTGAGGACTTTTTTTTCTGACCCAGGATTCTTCACTCAAGGCAGAGTTTCAAAGTGTTTGGTGGGACTCAGGTTTTACCTTTGTAAGAAATGAGTGATGCATCAACTCCATTTTATATGCTGTAACAAAAACAGCTGTCAAATATTAGCGCCATGCCACCTTTACAATCTAAGAAGATATGCACATAAATCAAATTCATCTAGTGCCATTCATTTAGACGTGGAATTGTAACAAGGTATATCCCCTTATTCATTAAGTGCAAGTTGGTATGCATATGATGCTTTGACACAGGGACATTCAACCAATAAACGGAAGAAAGACGGTTTCATTAGCCACATACCTCAGACCTGTTGGAAACTTACTTGCATTGCCTATCTTCTTCAAAATCAATCCAAAGTCAACAAAGTACTAGTGGGCTAGCAGAAGCTATAACTGGTTAATAAGCAAATATATCATTGATTCTCTATTGAAGGAGAACCGCATATCATATACCATAAGAAGAAACAACTACTGTATCTGAAGGACATGACTATATGCTCATCAATTACCTTGATACAAATTGTGGTGATAGATTAAAGAAAGTGTATAAAGAATTATTTTTATAACATAGCAGTACAGTCATATAGTACTACTGCATATAAATAGCTAATAAATCTGCACAGATTGAGCTGAATCAAGGGAAACAAAATAAAAGTACTCCAAACTTTGCTATGGAAAAATGAACAGAATTTAAAAAATCAATAGGACCACATCTTTATGTTGCGTGAAACCTTGACAATGCAAATTTCAATAGCTAGGTATTCCACATTTTGCTACTGCCAATTTCAATCATGTTTAGAAGCCACAAGGAATGATCCGTTAGGTGACAACAAATGATGATATCAGCACTACTTAAATTTTGAGCTATATAATCACCATTTTTTTAATAATAAAAGCCTACACGTATAGAATGTATGATGTCAAAGAATCTGAAATGAATAATGCATTGCATTTCTATCACGGCACTGGATGGATCATGATTTGACGATTGAAACAATCCGTAAAGATCTATTGGTCATGCACACAATTATTGTTTTTGAATTAAGAAGCACATGACATGACATGCTAGCGTAACTTGCGTGTTCGTTACAGGAATTGAAGTGTTCTCCAAATAAATTATTATCTATGTATAATAATTTTAAAAGCACCATGATGACATAGTTCAGAATGCTAGCATCGCAACTAACAAAATTGATGTGCCATAAATACCAACTGACCATGTAACATGGTTGCTTGAATAGTAAATTGCACCTAATGATCATTTATTTACCCTTAAAGCTGAAAAGAAAATGAACACTGCTTGTCAACTGACTCCTTAAATAATCAAGCACACAACATAAGTTGTTAAGGGAACATTGACGAAACACTTTGTGTTCATGATCTACAGTTACGTACTTCGAAATATTGATACTTTAGAAGAGTGGCTAAGGTCTTAATCTTCAGAAGATGCTATAATTCTTGATTTTGGGCTGCTAACTATGATTTTGCTGATTTTAAACCCAATCAAACAAACGATGACTTAAGAAAGACAGATGATCTGAAATGACACTAGCAATATGTCATACAAATTCAGTTTTAAGCTCTGAGAAGTGAAAGTTCAGTTCTGTCTTGTATGAAGTGTACTGTTGCTTCGCTTGCTATTGAATTACTTTATCAGATGACAGTATGACACCAGAAACAACTGTAATAAATAACAATATTTCAAACAGAGCAACAAGCATTTTTCGTTTGCATATTACCCGATACAGTTATGAGTTATTTTGATGGTTTACAGTTCTTGAGAACAAATTGGCTCTAACATAAAACTTTTGCTGGAAGATGCAAATTAAAAGCTTACTGCCAAGGCTTAGTATGTACAAGAAGTCAAGAGAACAAAGTAGTAAAATACTGTCATTACGAGAGCACTACTAAGGTTGAATTAATTACAAAGGTTGACTTTTACATTAGCAAAACATGTGACATAACTTAATGCAGTAGATCTGGAGGCTTATGGAAGAATTTTTGTTGGAGAAAATCCTTCCTTTTTATACACTATGACTTCTGTTGTATATGCTGAGTCTAGTTCTTCAGATCTGGAATACTACATATCATTTGTTTGTAAACAATGTCCTCACATATCAACAATCAATGAGATATCTACGGCTCAGCAGTCACTCAATTGGAAATTCCTGGTAACGTCAAGAAAATCAAGTTCTTGTTATTATTCATGGTACAAAACATGGAATTAGTTGAAAACAGAATTCCATATGACTTGATGTGTGGAAGAGCACAGATAGCAAACGCATACACCTCTGAGAGAAAAACCAGCATATAAAATAAGCCCAGTATATGAGCACTACCTCTATTGATGGTATTGTAATATCATCTTGCCAGACTTGGCATGTGGATATCTGATCCAATTTGCTCTATTATTTGTAATCTTTCAATGGCATGTTGTGGGTAAAGAACGTGCAGTGGAATAAGGCAAATATCCATCACACGCAGGGGCAAGAGCAGTAGTTTCAGCAATATTTTTGCTAAATGCAATTGGACAAACTGAAAACGTGACACCCGGGAACGTGATTCTATTATATTACACTAAAACCCCAGCAAAGCCATCCTTAGGCTGCCCATATATCCTCGTGAATGTCCAGAGCGAGGATGTAAACCAAAACGTCGATACTCGATAGCTGTACATGAGTACATCGCTCAAGCGAGATTTGGCACTACCACTAGCCTTTTCAGTTTCGATCCTTGACCCAGACTGGGAACCCCCCCATTGCGCCCAGCCCACCCGGCGGGCTGACTGGGAAGCATCCGCGCGGTCCCTGAAGCCGAAGCCACGCCTGACTGAAATAACTGTGCCGAGGAGCAGAAGCGTACCTAAGCATAAGGAGGGCGAGGGATGGACTCATTGGTCGGCCGCGGCGGAGGGCGGCGGAGGCGAACCTACCGACCCGGCCGCCTCGGTGGACGCGCCAATGGTGGAGGTGGGGGAACGGAACGGGGGAAGGTAAGAGGTGGTGGGGCGGGAAGCGGTCAGAGTAGGCCCAGCCCAAGAACCAGAACGGCTGTTTATCTGGGCCCCGGACCTTTTTGCATTCATCGCGTTCCGCTTGCGCGCCGCCTTGCGTTCTCTTGGCACAACAAGCTTGCGCGCAAATATCTGACTGTTCGTTGAAGTTAGAGCAGGAATGGCTGATTAGACATCAGAGTCGTCGTGCCGGAGTGGTTATCGGGCATGACTAGAAATCATGTGGGCTTTGCCGACCACGAAATTTTGGTTTGCTTTGGAACCTGATGCATTCGCTTTTTTTTTATAACTATAATCGTTTTAATTTATCTCTATATCTATCATTCTATCAATACCTCTATAGCCTTTCACCCTGTTCGTTTGATTGTTTTTATAACTTATAAAACAGCTGATGTTGTTTTATTATGAGAAAAAATACTATATAATGGCTGATGTTGTTTGGAAGCATGCGCCCCCGGTCGAGCCGAGCGCGGCAAGCAAGCAAGCAAAAGCTACATCCGGGTGGCAGATGGAGCGGATTGGCAGCCTGATCGATAGGAATGCTCCAGCAGCAAGGCCCCCCAACGTTGCCTCTGTCGATGATCCCTCGCTCGAAACTACAAATACACACACCATGCGCGGCCCCCAGCATGCATGTTCGTGCGTTAGCCGCCATCCGTAGCAAGCCAGCGAGAGAGGGAGAGATCGAGCAGATGGCGCTGTCGAGGACGGCGTGGATCGCCGCCGGCCTGCTTGCGCGGCTGCTGATGATCGCCGTCCTGGCCATGACCGTGCAGTCGAGGTTCGCGAACAGAGTCCATTACGACTTCAAGGCCGCCGGCTACAACAACGATCTCCAGAGCTACACGAACGTATACGTCTCCGCCGGCGCCGGCGTCGTCGTGGATACAGCTTATTATTAGTACACTCCAGGGCTTGCTGAACGGTTAATTCTTGTGTGTATGCTGCGTGTGCCCCATCGGAAACTAAAAAGGTACGCGGTGGTCGCGGCGGTCGTCGGGATGGCGGGCAGCGTGCTGCAGATCCCCGTCGCCGTCTACCTCCTCTGCAGGAGCAAGCGGATGACGTCCAGATCCCTCATCCTCGACGTCAGTATGTACGCCGACATTGTACGTGTGCTCGATCACGTAGATATATACTCCACTCATGGCATGGGTTTCGATCGTATGACGATGCTGCATCCGCATGCAGGTGGTGACCGTGGTGCTGGCCAGCGGCGTGGGCGCGGGCTTCGGCGCCACCGACGACGTCTTGGAGTACGTCAAGCATGGCTCGCGATGGGAGGAAGACGCCACGCAAGATCTCGTCAAGTACTACCAGAAGGGGCTCATCGCCATCGTCTTCCTCCTCATCGGCATGTTCCTGTCCGTGTGCGCCACCGTCGTCTCCACCAGGCTCCGGGTCAGGGCAGCAAGCAACGACATCGACGACGTCTGACCGGTCGGCGGCTCTATCGTGGCACGAAAGATTAAGCAAACTCTGCCAGTGTTTAGTTCAGAATGCAAGGCCCTCCCTAACCAATACTGATATTCCAAGGTGTTGTGACGAGTATAAATGGAAAAAGTTTTGAATGGGAGCAACTCCGATCCAACAATGCTCCCAACACCCGCAACTTTAGATTTAAGCGCTCTTCTACTTTTGAGGGCTCTTTCGTCTGAGACTAAGCTTAACTCTAACAACAGCTCTCAAATCAGAGCATCTACTTCTACTTCTCTCCCTTTACTCATAGACTCTATCTATTTGATGTATTTGACACTATATAAGTTCAGACTATATAATACTAGTAGTTCATACAAATGGTACAAATCCAATACGACAGTTTGAATTTAAATGCAGAAAATAGGGCTTGCTCCCGGTCTTCGAAAAGCCATAGCGATATAATATGTGCTATCACCATCCGCATATAAATCCTAACAAATAAATCATAAATTTACTAGCAAATGAACTATATGTTGAAACAAAAGACATCAATCCCAAATACCTCGATTAAAACAAGAACTTGCACATGACAATGTCCTCCGAGCATATCTAATTTTATTTTTTTGACAAATCATTAGTATAAACATGTGCTCGGTTTCTAATTTCATCCAATTTCATTATTTTTTGTTAAATCGCATCAGGAGGACTAGAAGGGCTGGTGGTGGTGCATGCCGCACAAGGGGCTGTGGTGGCACACGCATGCCTATCCAGGGAAACAGGTAACAAGGTGGAGCGGCAAGGGGAGGCCATGCCGGGGAGAAGGAGCAGCGTTTGGGAGGGAAGAACGAGGACAGGGAGGAGGAGCCTGAAGGAACCGTTGGGAGGGGAGGCTGGAAAGTCCTAAATGTCTAGAGGGGGGTTTGAATAGCCTAATTAAAAATTCTACAAGACACTTAAAGCAAATGGTTACACAATTTAAAAGTGATAATTGCGTATTGCTCTAGCTCTACTAAAAATGCAGGCCACCTACCAATATACTGGTGTGCTATGATCTCTATGGCAATCAATGAGTTGTGTCACTCATAAACTATCTAGTGAGCTAGCTAGCAAGATAATCACACTAACATCAACTAGCTACTTAACTAATTACTTCTCTAGTTCACTAGCTACACAAGAAGACTAACAATTATTACACAAGTATATTGATGAAAGTAATGCAATGAGATAGTATATCGAGCCGGGCAAGCGTCAATCAAATGAATACCAAGAATACCAATTGACTCAATGATTTATCTCGAGGTTCACTTGCTCGCCGCCAAGGTAGTCCCCGTTGTGGCGTCCGATTCACTTGGTGGTTTACGTGTTAATAGGCATACACAAGCCTAGCCCTACACAAGGGTGCCATAAGAACCTCCACAAATGCGGGCACTCAACGTCACGAGCAATCCACTAGAGTACCTTTTGCGATCTCCTGCGGAGAATAAGGTCAGGATCCCCTCACAAATCCTTAATTGGAGGCGGATACAATCACCAAATCCCCTCACCAATCACCTAGGTGATGGCAATCACCAAGAGTAATAAGAGATCCATAATCGTAATAGTGCCACCAAAATGCAACCTCAAATGCACATATTAGGGTTTCCCCCAAATCCTCTCATGAATGAGCACCAAGCTAGGAGAGGGAGAGGAGAGGGAGGAGATGCTCTTGAAGCTCTCAAGATCCACACTAGAGCTCAATCTCTCACTTGAATGGAGCACCAATCCTTGGGAGTGAAAGAGGAGAAGGGGAGAGCTTTTCTTCTTCCAAGAGGATGTGAGCAAATGCGAGAATGGGGAATTAATGGAGGAGGAAGAAAGGGGAGACCCAGCCTTATCCCCAGCTAGCCAACCTCCCGACCATTGTTGTGTAGGTGCCCCTTTCCCGCACTAAAATTTCTCAGGCGGGTGCTCCTCTCCCGACCGTTGGCATGGGAGGATCCCCGCACTGGAAATTCCAGCTCGGGCCAATTAAAATTCTTGTTAAGTGGCGCCAAACAACAGAGCACCCTTGCCGAGCAATTCAACCGAGTTGAACTAGAATTTCTTGTTCAGACTTCACAGCATGCCCATTTCAAGTGCTATCTCTTCCCAAAAGCACCAAACTAATTTTAGCACTTGAGTTAGCTTTTCACAGAGAATTTTCTCGAGCTTTCTCATGCATCTAACCACGTCACTAAGCACGCTATATATGAAAATGAGACTCACACTCAGTGGCATTAGATAACTAATGTAATTAAAGATTTTCTCTTTTTATAGTACAGTTATCTATCCTAAACCCGATCACGCACTCTATTACGTCTTGACTGGCAAAACAAAATGGCCTTAGGTTTAATACCTTTGCCTTCAACCTATTTTGTTTTTCTCTTTCTTCTTTTTCAAGTAGGAGCACTTATCACCATCTTTTGACCATCTCCATCACCATGAGTGTCATCTAGCTCCACCTTGGTGTGAACCAACCTTACTTCAACCACAACACTTAAAAAGAAGGTTAGTCCACAATGGTTTCATCAATTAGCCAAAACCAAACTAGACTCGTACTTTAGATTTTAGCGCTCTTCTACCTTCGAGGGTTCTTTTTTCTGAGTTCAACTCTAACAACAGCTCTCAAATCAGAGCCCCTACTTCTACTTCTCTCCCATTGCTCATATACTCTATCTATTCGATGTATTTCACACTATATAAATTCAAACTATAATACTAGTAGTTAATACAAATTGTACAAATCCAAATATTTTGAATTTATATGCAAAACTAAAAATAGAGCTATGCTCTCGGTCTTCGACAAACCATAGCGTATATAATATGTGCTATCACCACCCGCATATAAATCCTAACAAATAAATCATAAAATTACTTGCAAATGAACTATATGTTGAAACAACAAAATCAATCCCAAATATCTCAATTAAAACAAGAACTAAACATAGTTGAACATGACAATGTCCTCTGAGCATATCTAATTTCATTTTTTTTTTGACAAATCATCAGTATAAACATGTGCTCGATTTCTAATTTCACCCAATTTCATTATCTTTTGTTAAATCACATCGGGAGGACTAGAAGGTTCGGTGGTAGTGCATGCCACCCAAGGGGGTTGTGGTGGCACACACATGCCTGTCTAGAGAAGTAGGTAACGAGGTGGAGCAGCAAGGGGAGGCCATGCGGGAGAAGGAGCAACGCTTGGGAGGGAGAGATGAGGACAGGGAGGAGGAACTACTGGGAGGGGAGGCGTAGAGGGAGGAGCCTGAAGGAGGCGCTTGGAGAGGGCGGGAAGGAGGAACAGACCGGAGGGGAGGCACAAGGATCCACACTTGGGGAGAGTGAGGGAGGGCAAGGAGGAGGAGCTACATGAGGGGAGGTGTCGGGGGACTGGGGAGGAGGCACACCGGGTGGCAGTGGCCGCCACTACTACATTATCACTTTTCGAGTCAATTAATAGAAAATTATAGAGGCGGACAACTCAACCATCACTGTTAATCAGGAGTTTGTAGAGGCAACATGAAAAGCCCATTTCTAGAAATCATAGCAACAGAGGTGGGTCCGTAATTTCACTCATCTCTAGAAATCACATCTTTGTAGGCGGGTGTGTTCAACGCTCGCCTCTAAAAAAAAGAAGGAAAAAAACAACGGCCATCATCGGCATCACTGTCGCCGTAGGGATTGCACGCTGCCAAGGCCCACATCTGTCCTGGAGACCCGTGCCTTTAGCCCTCTGTCCTCAGAGGACCACACCTTCCAAGACCACCTTCATCCTCGAAGACTCGCGCCTCTAAGCCCGAAGGAGATCCGTCGTCATCCCCAACCTAGGAAACAAAGTGAAAGTTAGTGAAGGAGAGTAGAGAGGGCAGGAAGGAGAGAAGAGATGAGGGGCTTGGAGCCGTGATCTAGGCTTTGGCTGTGGGGCCATTGCTTTTGCCAAATTTTCTTATAAAATTCACAACTATATATGTTAATGGTGTTAATTGATCTAAAATTAATGAGCTTTGGCCCCACAGGTGTTTAACCCTGGATCCGCCACTGCTTGGAGCGTATCAAATCCGTATCATGACTGCAATGTTATAAAAACAACCATACACACGAACACACATCATGACGTACTACACTGTTACGAAAGCAACCATCGATCCAAAATGATTGGTTGTCACATATGGTTCCGAGGCCCGAACTCGGGGCGAAATTTCCCTGGAATAATTTACTACATGCGCGTTTCCACGGAGGATGATGCCGTGTCCATTGTGTTTGCAGCGCCGGACGGCGTTGGAACTAAGGAACAAAGCCGGTGCTCAGCTCGAGCTAGCGTCATAGGGCGGCCTCTGTTTTCCGTGACATCACCACATAGGCGTCCCCATCGACATGACGATGGGAGCAAAGACAAGCAGTAACGCCCCAACGACGCCCAACGCCAACGGCAACGGGTATCTATATATCCCGCGGCTAGCAGCTAGCTGCTCCTGCATGCTTCCCATAAACTTACACCTCGGTTCCTTGCACTACAAATACGTACGCAGGCGCGCACTCCATCCATGGTGGTGGTGTCGTCCGTGCGTCGCCGTCCCTAGCGAGCTCGCGGCCAAGGAGAGATCGAGCAGGATATATGATGGCGCTGTCGCGGAAGGTGTGTGAAAGGTCCTTGTTGGTTTTGGTAATTGAGTGACAACCTAGGTGGACTAATTGTGTTTATGTGAGATACACAGGTAATTAGTCCATAGGTACATGTGTGTGAGCAACATATGCCATGAAGGTGAAATGGCTTAGAGATGTTGCAAAGCTCACACATGTGATGATGAAGGAGCTTAACGCACATGAGACATGACATTGAGTCATGTGATCAAGGTGGAGAAGATCAAGACAAGACTTGGCTTGATGGACCGGTTGCAAGCGTGAAGGGCAAGTCGAAGGCTTTGGAGTGATGGACCGCGTGGCGGTGAAGCTTGAGCAAGACTTAGCGCCAATGGACGATAGCAACGGTGAAGAGCAAGTAGAGTCAAGATCGATGAACCAATATGATCATGTGATGATATGAAGTGGATCATATCATTGTTGATCGTGTTGGTGCATGTGTTGCATCGACATTGAAGGAGATGGAATGGAATGCGCAAGGCAAAGATATAACCTAGGGCATTTCATTTCACCGGTCATAGGTGTGTAGAGAAGTTTATGACCGGGTTTAGGATAGATGGCCATACTATCAAGAGGGGCAAACTTGTTTGCATATCGGTCATCTAGTGCCACTCGAGTGATCTAACTTTGCATTGTCGCTAGGATCGAGTGGCGTGGCAAGTTGAGTGGCTAACATCCTTTGGGAAATGATTGTGAAAATGCTAACACGCATACACATGGTGGTGTACACTTGGTGGTGTTGGCACATTTATAAAAGAGGTGGTGTTTGCAGGGGTGAGATGGGTTTGGGTCCCTCTCTCCCTCCCGCCGAGCTTGCTCGGCGGGATTCGGCGCTTTCGGGAAAATAGAATGCCTATTTTCTATTGCGTCGGATGCAAGTTCTTGTGGTTAGCACATTGGAGCAAGGGTGATGAAGTTAGAAGTGAAAACGAGTTAGTCGCGAAGATGTTGGCGTCGGTCAACTGACCGGACGCTGGATCTGAATGCACCGGACGCTGGCAGGCTACGTCCGGTCAGGCTGACGTACGGTGGCTGTGTCTGATCAAGTGTGACCGGACGCGTCCGGTCGAGGTCGGTACCTTACTGGAAACGACCGGACGCTGGGGGTTCAGCGTCCGGTCAGTTGAAAGCTGCTGCGTCCGGTCAAGTCAAGTGACCGTTGGAATCAGGACACGTGGCCATCTACGGGCGACCGGACGCTGAGGTCCAGCGTCCGGTCAACACGACCGGAGCGTCCAGTCGGCCTGACCGTTGCCCAGTGAAGGGGTAACGGCTAGTTTAGCCCTTGGGGCTATAAATAGAAGTGGCCCTCGGCCATGGCTGGTGCTGAGCACCTCAAGGGACTTAGTGTCCATGCTTGTGGGTGCTTGGGAGCCCTCCATCACATATATACTTGATAGTGATCATTCGATTGTGTGAGTGAGCGATTCTAGTGCGATTGCATCGTGAGGTTGCATCGAGTGGCACTAGGTGGTCGTGTTGCAAGCCGGTGGTGCTTGTTACTCTTGGAGCTTGCCACCTCCTAGATGGCTTGGTGATGGTCTCCATCGAAGCCCGCAAGAAGCTTGTGCGGCGCTCCGGAGAAGTGCTTGTGAGGGGTACTTGTGCTCGCCCCGCGGGAGTCGCGAAGAGCAACTTTAGTAAAGCGTGTCATTGAGCTACCCTCACTCAAGGGGTAGGTTCTTGCGGTGCCCGACGTGCAGGCTTAGCGGGTGATGCTAATTAGCCGCCGAACCACCAAGTGAGCGGTCGACTCAACGGGGACTAGCGTGTTGGCAAACACGTGAACCTCGGGAGAAAAATCATCGTGTCAACCTTGTTCTTCCCGTTGGTTTGCATCCCCATTACACAAAGCTTACAATTACTTTTATATATCTTAAGCTTGTGTAGTTGCTCTTGTAATTAGTTAGCTTGTGTACCTTACTAGTTACCTTCTTGCTTGTGTAGCATAGAAGTAGCTCCCTTGCGTGGCTAATTTGATTTTAGTAACCTTATTAGTCACATTGCTTAGTTTGTGTAGCTAAGTATTTGCGCTCTCTAATTAGGCATTGGTTGCCTTGTTATTGAGCTTTGCTAGTGAGCTTAGTTGGCTTTGTGCTTTTGCTTACTAGCATGTGTAGGAGCTCCCTTGTTGCTTAAAGTACTAGTGGCATATGTTTGTGTGACCTTGCTCCTAGAATTGTTTAGGAGAGCTCTAGCTAGCCCGGCACCTTAGTTGCATAATTAGTATCTTGGCAAGGTGCTAGTGAGCATATATAGAGGGGTGTAGTCTTGGCTAGACCGATTATTTTAATTCCGCATTTATATCGGTTAGCCGACGCGATTAATTTTAGAAAAGACTATTCACCCCCCCCTCTAGTCCGCCATCTCGACCCTTTCAGCGTGGATCGCCGTCGGCATGGGTGCACGGCTGCTCATGATCGCCGTCCTGGCCGTGAGCGTGCCGCTGACGGTCCACAACCACACCAAGCGCGATTACGGTGTTGACTACTACAAGCTGCAGAGCTACTCATACGTGCCCTCTCATCTCGTAGTAGCTAGCTTAGTAGCTTATTAGGTGATCGATGATGGAGCAAGCTAAGGCACTGCGTTGAAACTAATGGTTTCATTTGATTTGATTTGTTCCGTGTCGTCGCTGCTGTATGCATGTTCATGTGCGTGTGATCTCCAAATAAACTGAAGGTACACGGTCGCCGTGGCGGTGATCGCGAGGGCCGGCGGCATGCTGCAGATCCCCGTCGCCATCTACCTCCTCTGCAAGAGCAACCGAATGACGCCCAGCGCCCTGATCCTCGACATCAGCGTGTGCGCCGACGTGGTATCGCCGCATTTCATCACACGTTGCTGTGCTTACATTACATATACTAAGTACTACACTACTAGCTGGCTACTCATGTTGCGTGTGGCATGTGCGTGATGATTCATAATAACATATATATGCATGCATGTGTGGTACACACGCGTGCAGGTGGTGACCGTTCTGCTGGCCAGCAGCGTCGGTGCGGGGTTTGGCGCCACCAACAACTTCTTGCGGTACGTCTGGAGCCGCTACACGAGATGGGAGGACAACAGCGTCAAGGACGACCTCGAGGACTACTACAACAAGGCCTTCGTCCCCTTGGTCTTCATCCTCCTCGGGATGGTACTGTCCATGGCCGCCACTGTCGTCTCCACCAGGCTCTGGGCCCGGGCGACCCACACCGACGACGCCGACGTCTGACGACCATCTGTCACCAGCTCAGTCAAGGTCAAGATCATCAATTCCGCGGTCCGGTCCTCCCCAACTCAGTTTGTGTTTCCATACAGCCCACACAGCATTTCAGATACCGCATGGGGGATTTCAGATCAATGCATCGCTCCGATCCGATCGACCTGGCTCCTCTGATAATCTTGTATGCGTTGTGCTTGTGATGTGAGATTTTCAGTTTGATTATCATTTATCAAACGTTGTACAACAGTTTAGGAAGGCCTCCTTCGGCTACCCTCTTTAAATGCATCCTTTGTACTATATGTAATGTCTCTTTCTATCTATAGACCGGATCGTCTATCTTGCATGCCTTTTCTAGACCGTACCTGATGATTCCATAGGAGAACGCAGTTAGCCATTTCATTTGGATTTGGTGCATCTGTGATAGAATTGGGGGAAAAGATATCTTCTTGCTTTAGAGTTTCATCAAAAAAGGAGAACATATGGGAGTTGGTACAGATTTAACTAATTTGGTGCGATGCGTGCTCAACTGTATGTTTTCTACTTTTTAGTTTGTTGGTTGCTTGCTCTGTAGAAGTTTCTGCAAATCAAACCATGACGCCGTGAGATGACAAGGTTAAGATGTGTCCTTGTCATTATGTATGAAGAGTGGATTGTCATGGACCATAAATCCTTACGGTTGAGCTGTTCTTGCTTACTACTAACAGGAGGCAAAGTGGTGCTGGTGCAACATGCCTCTTGGTTGTGTATGTGCAGGTGGTGGATAGACTTGGTGGTTGATGGCGATGGTGAACGTCAAGCAAGGTTCATGTTGGTGTATCATGGGCGGTGAAGGGCAACAAGAGGGTGTGTGGATGGGATGAAGGCTATGTTGACCAAAGTCAAGGTGGGATCAAGACCAAGTCAAACACGGATCTTGAATCTCTCTTGAACTCTCTAATCATTTTTTGTACTAGGTTAGCAAGTGCTTAAAGAGAAAAAGAGAGGGGAGTAGAGAGAGTTGAGCACCTTTTGCTCTAGTTTCTTCACTTTTTAGTGGGAGGATGAAGGGAGGTGGCTAGCCATGTTCTTGATGAAATTGTGATGCAACCCATTTCCATGTTGCTTTGAATCTGAGTCAAATTTGTTCTCTATCCGCTTGTTCTTGCATTTTTTAGAATTTTGGGCTATTTTTGGTGATTTTAAGTTCTTCACGTTTGACTGATTTGTGTCAGATTTTTCAGGACAAAACAGTGTAATGACATGACAGATGAGTGAGCAATCCTAGGACGTTTCCCTAATAAATCCTCACTCGAGCGCCATGGATTTTGAGTTTTCCTCAAAATTCTCCTTTTTCTCTGGGTTTCTTTAATTTCTAAAATTTGGAAGAAAGCTTCAATTTTCTGGGTGGATCTTGTTAGAAAGGTCTCTCTAGATTGAGTTACGGTTGTGTTTAGAGTTTGGTTACAGTAAAATTTGGTTTGATGTGTTTCTGATAAATTTTGGAGAACCTCTGTTGGAAGCCTGCGTACTATTGTGTTTCTGAAACAACTGTTTTCAGATACACAGCAATAGCAAAGCAGCACTTTTTTAATTTCAGCAACCGTGCGATTCCTTCCCAGCAACAGCTACCTACAGATCGTCCTTATCTAATTTTCCTATCTGTTATTATTGGTTTGATTCTTTGTGGTGAATTTGGGAGTTGTTCAGTCAGCAGTCTTGTGTACTTTCCGAAACTTATTCAGAAGCAGTAATTGCCCGGTTGCTTTGGTTTCTCAGTTCAGCTGGGATGTAGCGTGTGTGGTTCCTCTGAGTGGTTGGCAGATAGCTGCTACTGAGTCTACACTAACAAGTTTGTCAGCAATCCGGTGAAACCAGCAGCTGCATCTCCTTTCGGGCCCGTTCGGTTGTTAGGGATTACAGGGCTTGACAATTGCTACATGGATTGTTTCAATAATTTATATAACCTTTATCACCTGGAAGTATTCCTAGTTGCCTTTTGGCCTAAACGAACAGGCCCTTCAGTGTTTCAGTCATCAGGAGTAGCAGGAGTTAAATAGCTGCAATCTCGGCAAACAGCAGTAGCAGGAAAACAGCAGTTTGCAGCTTGGCAAATAGGTAAGCTACACAAATTCACGGTTTTCGCAATCAGATTTGTGAATCGTCATTTCCTTGCTGCATGGACCATTGCGCTTTATCGTGGTATAATTTGTGCAGACTAACATTATTCTCAAAAAAGATCCATGTTGTAACCTACAAAATGGCCGATTTCACTGTATGCAGCTATGCAGGTGCCACTTATGCAGCAGTTCATGACAGAGAAACCACTCATGCATCTAATACCAATCACAGACTAAAAAATGCATAGGAAGCTATGCAGGCGAACCAGTCATAGGCCTTGTTTAGTTTCTCCTCTAAAGTTTAGTCCCTATTCCATCGGATGTTTGACACATGTATGGAGTATTAAATATAGACTAAAAAATAACTAATTATACAAATTACGACTAATTTGCGAGATGAATTTTTTAAGCCTAATTAGCTCATGGTTTGATATTGTGGTGCTACACAGTAAACATGTGCTGATGACGGATTAATTAGGCTTAATAAATTCGTTTCGCAGAGTACCGAGGACTTTTGTAATTTATTTTATTATTACTATGATGGGGTTAGTGGAAGATGGGTCCCACGATCCTCAGTGAATGGGTCAAAGCAACGTACGAGCGGCGGTGACATGCATTTACCGACGCCAGATCGACGTGCCAAGCAAGCTACCTAGGATCGATCGATTCAACTACAAATATCGCACTTGGTTACAAAGATTTAACTAGTTCAATCGTGTCCGTGTTGCGTCACTGTTCCTATCTAGCAATAGCAAACTCTCGCGGAGAATGAAGAAGCATGGCGCTGTCCCGGAAGGCGTGGATCGCCGCCGGCCTCGGTGCTCGGCTGCTCATGGTCGCCTTCCTGGGCATGACCGTGCAGCTCACGACGGCCAACCACACCAGGCTCAGTTACGAGGACAACTTCAACAAGCTCCAGAGCTACACGTACGTGCATGCCGCGCCCCTGCAACCTACTATTATCTATCTATATACTCGAAGCTCTTAGCTCTCTCCGTACATGTGGAGTTTACCTGTACGTATATATGATGTCCAAACTAACCCAAATTATGTGAAGGTACATGGTGGCGGCGGCGGTGATCGGGATGGCCGCCGGCGTGCTGCAGCTCCCCGTCGCCTTCTACCTCCTCTGCAAGAGCAAGCGCGTGACAACGTCGTCATCCAGCAGCGCCGCGTCCCTGTTCGCTTGGCTTATAAGTCGTACTTTTTCAGTCAACAAATTCTCACAACAAATCAGCCAATAGTACTTCCAGCCATTACTTTTCAACCAAGCGAACAGAGCACATTGCTTGTGCGCGGACGTGGTACGCAGGGCACGTTGCTCCTTAATTATGCGTAGGTCGATTTGGCTTGTATTATACATGCTGAATTGCTGATGCTGCTGCGCGCATGCATGCATGCAGGTGGTGACCGTCCTGCTGGCCAGCGGCGTCGGCGCGGGGTTCGGCGCCACGGACGACGTCCTGCGGTACGTCCACCGCGTGAGATGGGACGATACCAGAACGAAGGACGATCTCATCGGCTACTACAAGGCGACCGCCCCCGTGGTCTTCCTCCTCGTCGGGATGGTGCTGTCCATGGCCGCCACTGTCGTCTCCGCCAGGCTCTGGGCCCACCGACCAACGACGACGCCTGAGTGGCCTCTGACAATCGATCTATATCACCGCCTGCTCGGTCGTCGTCCAGTCCAAGATCATTTCAGCGAACTCAGTTCGTGTTTCCATACCCACAAACATTTTCAATGCAACGGAGATATATATCAGAAAGACTTGTCTCATATTTTTTTAGGTGCGTCGTGTTGTGAGATTTTCAGTTTGTGATTACATATTATATTGTCATATCAAACGCTACAACAGTTGGAGGACCTTATATATGGCCACACGCTACAACAATTGGAGGACCTTATATATGGCCAAACAGCCAGGCACAATTACTGACGTTACAGTGGTGGAGCCAGAATTGTGAAGTTGGGTATTCCCACGTTCCAATCAAATTGAATCAGCTATAATAACTTCATGAATATAGGCTCGTTCTCGATGAGACGATCACTTATCGCTTTCTGGGTTGTCAGCTGTGGGCTACTGACCACTGGGATGGCTTGGAGTGGGAAGGTGTGTTCGCATTGGGCTAATGAATTGAGCCATTTACGTTACTTATACTCGAAAAACATAGTTTGGGCTAATGAATTCAGCATTCATACTATGAAATCGATCACTCATGCAAAAGAGGGGATACATTCAGTTTTCTATACGCTTCTTAGCGTTTACATTTTGTTCAACCAATTATTACGAGAAACTTGTTTACTAAGTCATTTTTCTCTTGGTTTTTTTTTATGTTTGAGCAGTAGCTTTTTCTTCACCATTTTTCTCAGTGCCGTGTATGGAGGTAAAGACTTGATGAATGGGTTAGAAGTTATGCTCAAGGTTTGAACGCATATTAAATGTCATGACATTCAAGGAAAGCCCATTCCAAACTGACCACAATGCTGAAAGACAATGAGGTAACAGAAATATGTTAAAATCACACACATGTGAATACAGTGCAGCTCTACAAATTGCCTCACTGTCCATAAGGCTAACTGGCTAAGGTAGATATGACAATGCAAGGAAGCTTAATCAGTGTGTCACAATCAGACAGTGTGATGCAGCAGAAAGATTCCACAAAAAAATTTACTTTAATGAGCAATGATTGAGGTAAAGAGACCGAAATTTCATGTTCTTAGTAATTTCTCTCATTCAGTGAACAACAGCAATTATGTTTCAAAAAAAAAGTGAACATCAGCAAAGGAGCAAAAATTACAGGGACTTATGTGATCACATATCAACCTCTCAAATAACATATTTCCATTTATTATTGATCTTCTCAACCACAGTAAATAAGAGAAGGGAGATAAATTACACAGAAGTCTATATA